CAAACCCCTAAATCCCAGTAGCTTTCAGAGAAACAAATAACATCTACTCTTATCACTACTATTATTATTATTATTACTTTTTAAAAAATAATAATTTTACCCCAGGTACCTCTCCAGGGAAGGTTTCCTTCTTACAATGATTCAACAAATCATTGCCTCCTTATCAAAATAGACTTCCATGCTGCTGAGGCCTGGAGAGAGGGTCGTGCAAGGGAGCCCTGGGGATTCATTGTGTGACTCATGTGAAATGTCATTTATGTGCACATTTCACTGGTAAAAACAATGGATATGGCCAGACTGAAGCTCAGGGAGCTAAAGAAATGCAATTCCTTGTGTTTCCAAAGACAGGACGGGAAATATTAGCAACCAGCACTGATAACTCCCATTCTATGCAAGTAGGTGATCTCTAATTGAGGGAGCAAAGAACCCCTGAGAGCCAGAATTCTTAAATTTGCAAGCCATGTAAAACCTGCACTGGTCACTCCAGTGACTTCTGAAAGTGACACTCTGTTTTAAAAGAACAAATCTGCTCACTTATATATTACATGATTTGTCTTCTCATTTTTTTTCATCTTTTCTGCACTTTTGGGAGACAAAGAAATGGCAATGCCAAGCACACGGTGAGTGCTCTCAACTGATTGACTGATTCGCACCATCAAAATGAGGTGTGAGTCAATCGATTCTCCTTCCCAAAGGCAGTGGATGAGCAGAGTGCATTGTATGTCCAGAGTCACGAGGCAGCGAGGAGCCCGAGAAAGACATCCGCGCGTCCTGCCAGGAGCCACAAGACTGCTTTATTACTTCCTTGAGAAAAATTGGCCCCAGAAGAGTTATTCATGTTTGCTGGCAGTTTCCACAGGTGATCACCGCTGTTAACCTTGGACTGCTCTCATGACAGAAGGTCAGGGGCAAGCATGCTGCAAAACAATGGCAGACACAATAGAGCAGTGTCCCGCCGACAGGTCACGGGAGAGCATCTTCAAGGAGAGAAGGACACACCTCGCACCTCTTAAATCTCAGCTCCGACCCCATCTCCTCCACCAGAAGTTGCTGAACCCCAAACAGAGCGAGCAGCTTCTCTGGCTCTGTCTCTCTTCCTGGGCTGGAAAGTCAGGTGTCTGTGGACAGCTTATCCATCTTCTTCTCTGGATCTTGACCTTGCTAAGATGCAGATCAGGTGTCAGAGAGACTTCTTACCCCAGCACTCTTAGTCAGCTGAATAGAAGCCCCACGTGCACTTCAAAGACCCAGACCCCAGCTCTCGCCTCTGCTCCTTGTTGTATTTCAGAATTTTAAACCAACATCCGGATGCAAAGAAGGGGACCCGGACAGCTGTGCGTCTTCTCTCCACCCGGCGCACCTACCAGGCAGAAAGAGAGACTGTGATTCTGTTGTAGAGCCGAGGCTGTGGGTCCAATTTTATTTGATCCCCAAACAACCAAGCTGATTCACTGCCAGATCTGGCCTTTCCTTCCAGTATACCTCAATCTCTCCTAATTGGCCGTGAAATTCCTGGGAGTTGGCGGTTTCGGGCATGGAGAAGGTCGGTCTTGTTAAACCCCCCCAGGTCTCATTTTGGCAGGGGGGGGGGATGGGGCTGGCAGCCCTGAAGTGAAGCAGGTGGAGTGAGGATTAGGTCACATGGCGGGAAGGGGGCTGTGGCGGGCGGCAGCTGGAGGAGTCCCAGGTGTGCGTGAGTTGGCAGGGGTACAAAGAGCAAGTTGCAAACAGCTCAAAGTCCCTGGGCTGTGCAGCTGCCTGGCTGGCACTGGCTTCAGACCCACCTGTAGGTTGACGGGCACAACCCACCTCTACCTTGGGGGACCTGGAAGGCCTGGGAGCGGACCCCGCCCCTCCCAGGCAGGAGGCTGGAGGACCAAGCCTGGCCCTGACCACCCCTGGGAGCCAGCTCATGGCACCCGGTCACTGCCCAGTGCCTGAGGCAGGGGGCAGCCCCAGGAGAACTAAGATAAACATACGCAGTTTCTTTCCATGCCTAGAAAGTTAAGAGGAAAAAAACAAAACCTGAGCCGAAGACTAAGTCAACGGGCAGAGATGAGAGCTATCCAGGGCAGGACAACAGGCTCAGGGCCTCTCCCAGCTGGGCTGCGGGAGCCCGAGTCAACACACTCCAAGACCAGCCCTTCCCGGTGGGGCTCTGCCCTGCTGCCCATCCGCTGCGGTTTGGGGGCATGAGGCCGTCTGTGGGCGGGGTTGAGATTCAGAGGCCGTGACCTGGGGAACAGCTCTGGGTCTCCAAGGGCAAAGGGAACTGCGGCTCCCACAGGTGAGACGGCAAAGGGCCCCACCCGCTCTCCACGGGAAGGCCGGCCCCAGAAAGCCCAAGCCAGGAGAAGGCTGCTCTCCACTGCTCCAGCCCTGTGCTTCCTCCTGGCTCCCCAGAGGCACAGGCGTAGAATCTGCTGCTTCCCTATAACAGAACCTCAGCTCAGGGGTAAGAGGATGCTGTATTGGGGTCTGGAAGGTTCCCAAAGGCCCGTGTGTTAAAGGCCTGGTTCAGCTTGCTGTCATGGGGAGGTGGTGGAACCTTCCAGAGATAGGGCCTTGTGAGAGGTCTTTAGATCATTGGGGTGTGCCCCCAAAGGGGATTACAGGACCCTGGTCTCTTCCTCTTCTTCTTTTAAAATATATTTTTAGCTGTAGATGGACACAATACCCTTGTTTTTATTTACTGTATATTTGTGTTTATGTGGTGCTGAGGGTGGAGCTCAGTGCCTCGTGCGTGCAGGGTGAGCCCCTACCACTCCTCTTCCTCCTTCGCTCCTGGCTCATTTCATCTCGTGCTCCCTCCGCCATGATGAGCTGCCTCCCCACAGGCCCAAAGAGATGGGATCAACTAGTCGTGGACTAGAAATTCCCAAACTCGGAACCAAAACTGCCCTATTCTTTGCATAAGTAGATTGTGTCTGTCACATGTTTGTCATAGTGATGGAAAGCTGACCGACACAGAGGACAGTGGGGACATGCACAGTTGTCACACATTTGCCCCTGCAGACCACTGTATCTGGGTGTGACCGTGTGACGCTATTGCCAAGGAGGACATCGGGGAGAGATTTCCTAGTACAGGCAACACCCATGGTGTATTCACCCTCGTTCAGGACTTGGAATGCAGCTGGGGCTCTATAATTCCTCTTTCTCCCAGGAAGAGGAAAGCCATAGACTAAACGTGACAGAGCAGAAGGAACTGGGTTCTCGGTGCCATTGCTGATGCTGTGGCACCAGCCTCGACTTCCAATCCCTGGCCTCCTATTATAGGAAGCCCGTGGTTCCCAGACTTGGGTGGCCGTATGAGTCACCTGGAGGACTCATAAGATCCAGAGGTTCTGGGTGGGGCCCTAAAACCTTGTATCCCTAACCCCAGTGATGCTGATGTCACCCAGGTTGAAGCCATCCCACCCGACACCCCACCTTCTAAATCCTCAACGGCCAGCCAGTCCACCTGACCCCTCACCCCCGGAGAGGGCTCAGGACTCATTTACCACAAGTCATGAACGCCCAGGGAGGTCTGCCATCTATTTGGATTCTGATCAGAGAGGAATCACTAAATCAAAGAATTTCTATTTTTGCCTACAACCAAATTTAATCATTTTTCTTTTGCATAGAGAGTAATTATACACATTTATGGGGTATGGCGCGATCATTTGATAGATGCACGTGAGGCATGATGATCAAATCAGGGTCGTTATCACTTCCCATTCCCTAAACATTCTCCATCTTTAAAGACACCCAATCAGCTGCTGGGAACACCTACCCCTGCTGTGCTGCGGGACACTAGCGCTTCTCCTGTCCAACTCCACTGTGCCGGCCATTAGCCAACCCTCCTCTCCCTTCTCCCCACACCCTCCTGGCCCTTAGTGACCGTTCTCTGCTCTCCTCAATGAAACCAGCTCTTCGTAGCTCCTCATGGGAGTGAGTATGTGCAGTGTTTGTCTTTCGGGGGCCTGGCTTGTCCCCCGTTCCTTCTGTGGCTGCAAGTGACAGGATTCCTTTCCTCCTTGTGGCTGTGGAGTGTTCCGTTTTGTGTAGACCCCCCCACGTTCTCCTCATCCATCCTGATGGGCTTCTTGGTGCGGTGTGCTCACACTGTGCTGTTGCTGTTTGTTCTTTGTTTAGCAGCGCTGGGGATGGAACCCGGAGTCTTGTGGGCGCTAGGCAAGCTCTCCACCAGCTACATCCCAGCCCCAGAGTCTCTGCTGTTACCCACCAGGCGGCACTGGAGCAGAATGGGGGAGACATTCAGAGCAGGAGAAGGTAGCCTGCAGCCTCTGGTAGCAAGGGCTGGCTCACAACTCCACCTTCCACTTACAGGTGAATGGCCTGGCGCTGTTTCCTCCCCCAACTGTGGAACCTGGGGAAACTCTTTCCTCATCTGTAGAGCTTATCAGATGGGCTCGACATCAGGCATAAGTGCCACTGGGGAGTCAGAGACAGGCTGAACATCCGTCACCGGGAACAGGGTGTGGGGACTGTCACAGAGTATCTCCATGCAGCATGGTGGATGACAAACAGTAGCACAGGCAAACCCTGAGACTCAGGGATCAGTGAAAAGGAGATGCAGTGCATGTTACCAATTAAAGAATTATAAAGAGATGCATTCCAAATAATAACCATTACACACAGAATGAAACAGATCCATATTAAATACATCAGAATGGTAATCTGTGAGGTGGGACGTGAGAATAGCACAGGAATGTGAAGGTGAGGATTTGAACACTAATGAGCATCCATCAGATTGACCCAAACCAAAGTGTCTGACAATCCCAAATTTGAGTGAAAACGAGAAGGAAAGGGGGCTCTCAGCCCCTATTGAGAGGAGAGTGATTCGGTCTAAGCCTGGTGCCGCCCCTGGTTGTTTCCAATACGCACTTCCTCTTCTACAACACCCGTCGTGATTCTCGAGGATAACTTCATGTTCCCGTCCCCTTTATAGCCAGGTGTGGCCATGTGAACAAGGCCCAGACAATATCATATGACTGGAAGTGTCCTTTGAAGTTTCCAGGGCATTTCCTTAAATGAGGGAATCTCAGTAAGTGATTGGGAGCAAAGGTGGATGTCAGAGAGCGATGGACATGGTCCAGCACACCCAAGATCTTCCCCCGCAGCTGGCCCAGCCCAGACCCGGGAGTGAGGACTCTTGAATGCTCTTGCTGTCCTTGGAGGAAGAGAAGAACAGCCCTGGAACACACAACGTGATCCTGCCATATGTAACTTGGCCTTTGCAGTGCTACCCTGCGAGAGGAGAGGGCTGTCCGGAGGGGCCCACCATCAACAGAGGCTAAGTGGAGAGGTCTGGGGAAGAAAACGTGTAGTTACTTTCTAAACCTCTGCTTCAGCCTGGAGACGTGTTGACCAGCATAGTGCCCCCTGTCCCACCGTTCCCCTTTCAACAGATGCACAAATATCTGGGTTTGTTCCCGACGCCTAGGCACTGCCTTAAAGAAAGATGATGAACTCAATTTGTTAGCTCTTTCCTAAAAAAGAAGACACTATGGTTCTTAGTCAGTTGACTTGTCTCCATAACAGTGTGTCTACCACTGAACACCACAGTCCACATCTGTTCCTAATGAAAATCTATAATCGGCAATGCCCACTGCCTTTCAAAACTTATTTTCTTCATCCCCAAACTATGCACAGACCTGGCCAAAGCTTGTTTCTGTTGTCACCAGGACATAATGGCATTGCATTTATTCCAGGATGAATAAATCAACAGCGATTCCAACTAGAATCTGTGTCAGCCACTTAGGCTATTGCAAATTTGAGCCTCAACTACAAATGGACATTTTCATTTATTAAAATGCTGAAGCAGGCAGGTTTGGTTTGGTTCGGTTTTTAAGTTCATAACATCCAACCCTTTATGAAACTTTGTTTCAGGTCACAAGGCTAAAAGACGTTTGATAATAAAAACAGCTCGCGTTTTCAGTAAAAACAGATTCTCGAGGGAGCAGCCTCAGGACACATTTTTCACAAGAAACATTGATTTGTAAAACTTGTGGGCTTTGAACAGAGTATCAGATTAGGCCACCTCTAGAACAGAAGGCCAACTGGCACCGGCGCCAGCTGGCCAGCTCCGGTCCCCGCAGGATGACTTTGTAAGAAAGGTCTGAGGCCCACTCTCGGCCAGCTACTGCTGCGTGAAAACAAGCCAACTCAGAGCAGCCTTTCCCAAAGTACAGTCTGCAATCCTGGTGAAAGTGTAGCAGCCCTTATCCTGGGAGTGGCAAACCCTACATCTTTTCCTTTTCTTCCTCTGAGAACAGTGGATCCTCAGTGTGTTTTCTGCAGGGAGCCATTTTCAAAGGGAAGGACATGTTAGAATCTTTGGCAAATTTCTGTTTGTCTCAGAGCTAGAGGAGGCAGGGTAAGTGTGTCAAGCAAAAGAACACGAGACTCAGCCACACTGGTGCACGTGACATGGGCAAAGGGAGGCCCAGGAGCGGTGGGGTGCCTCCTGGCCTTGGAAGCAGCTACGCGTGGCCTCCTGCTCAGGAGCAATGAACTGCTGTTTTCTAGGAATCCGAGGTGGCCACAAAACAGGGGTCACTTGAGACAACATCAGGTTCTACTCCCAGGCTGATGTTCTAACCAGCGTCTTGGAGCTCTGGCAGATCAGCAACAGAACAGTCTGGGGGTGTGAAGGCACATCTTAAAGGATGTATCTTATTTAGCTAAAATCTATATTATTACAACAGGGATTTGAAAGTCATAATCTGAGATCTTAAGAACAAAGTGGAGGCTGGGGATGTAGCTCAAGGGTCAAGCACCTTCGCAGCATGTGTAAGGCCTCGGCTTCCATCCCCAGCCCCTAAAAATAAACAAAACTGAAGTGTAAAATGAGAGAATGCTTTCAGGGTGGTCTTTCTCTTTCTTTATTTCTCTCTCTCTCTCTCTCTCTCTCTCTCTCTCTCTCTCCCCCCCCGCCGCCCCCCAAGGAAATTTTTCTTTTTGATGAAAAGAAAACTGATTTTCAAGGAGGCAGGCGGCCTTCAGGCCAGTAGGGCCATGTTGGGTTTTGCTCCATCAGTGAGCTTATGTGTAGAGAAAGAAAGGAGTGGGTTTGTGTACAGAGATCTGCAGGAGATTCTCCCAGAGAAGCCTGAGAGAAGTGAGGGAGTATTCCAAGGCCAGCTCCTCCTCTCCAGGGAGTAGGTAAGGGACCCTCTAAGTCACTGCGGTGAACAGCAGGGTGTCCTATGAGGTCGGAGACCAGAAACTCCTGGCACCTGGCTGACGTCTCCAGACACTCAGTCTTAGCATCCGTTTGCTCAGGGCCTTCTGCGCTGGGCACAGGAGTCCAGGGCTGTTACTTTGCATGAGCAACTGAAAGGAGCAGAGGAACCAGGGAGCACAGACAGAAAGCACGTCCTCCGCTCCTCACAGGCCTGAGCCGTCGCCTGCAAACTGTCATCAGAAAACATAGATCCAGGTCCAGAAGCAGCTGCCGTCACTCAAGACTGAGAGCCCTGAACAGAAAAGAGCCGGCTGCCCGCCACCCTGCCTCCTCCAGAGCCCCGAGGAGCCTGGCACAGCTCACAGGAGGCCCCTGTGTCCAGGGGCTGGGCACAGCAGGGACCTTCCTCCAAAGGGCAGGGTTACAGCTCCATGGTAGAGCCCCCCAGGTTCAGTAGCCAATAACAAGTAAACAAGGCATGAGCCCCACAAGGGCAGGGGTCCATGCCTTTGTTCACTCTGTGCCCCTTCCCTGGGCGCTGGCAGGGCCTGGGCAATGCTGCCATGGAAGAATGTGATAGAGTCAGTTGAGGCAGAGAGGCAGAGAGGCCCTGCCGCTGTGCCGAGGGCCGTTCTCACCCACAGGTCACTGAATACCACCTCATCTGTGCCCCCAGCCGCAGGCTTGAGATGCCTGGTTCCCTCGCGCAGAGAACCAAGGCACTCAGGATGCGCTTCCAGCAGGTGAACAGCCAGACACGGGAGACTCCAGGCTTCCAGACGTCCAGCCAGAGCCGGGCAGCACCTCTGACCCTCTGCAGAGGTGCCCTGGGCTGAGGACAGAGGAATGGGGTGAGTGGCCCTCACTCTCATTCATGCGTTTTTTAATTCCCCCAGGATTTGCTGAGTGCCTGATACCTGCCACCGGCTATTCTAGGAGCAAGAGATGGAAGAATGGACAAAAAGCATGGAATCCCTACGCTCGTGGGGGCTCACATCTTGTTTATTTGTTATTGGGTATTGAACCCAGGGGAGCTCCACCCCTGAGCTATGTCCCTGCCCTTTTTATTTTTTGTGACAGGGTCTCCCTAAGTTGACCAGGTCAGCTTCCAATTCGCCACGCCCCTGCCTTCACTTACATTTTAAAAGCCAGCAGATAATAAGACAACATTTTCAATATGCATCCTATTGAAAGAAAAGCCTTTCAATAAATTGCATGCAACAGAGTTTACCTGAGCAGAGAATGATACAAGAATTCCAGAACCAGAAGAAATTCAGAGAGCAGCCCGGCAGTCCAGCCAGACTCTGAGGGAGAGTGGGGCGGGGGCAGGGGGCATCGCGTGGTTGGCTAATACGGGTTCTGTCCTGTTTGGGCCTGGTGTGATGAGTTGGCTGCCCATGATTAGCTGGAACCCAGCTATTTGTGACTGCCTGAAACACACTGTTTATCACACACACACACACACACACACACATTAAAAAAAAGACATACTACTGGGTCAAGATTTGGTTTGTTTACGTCTAAGTCTACATTAGAATTCAAAATATGAGACAGCTGGAGACTAAAGGTGTCCTGCATATTTTTCTTTAATTAGCAGTCGGGCATTTGATGTCATGAGTGCCAAGAATAAATATGAAACAGAGGACGAGGGGGAGGTATGTAGAGAGATACACGTGGGGTGGGGAGGTCCAGGGCGTCCCTTGAGAAGGTCGCAGTGGAGTGAAGACATCCAAGAGCCCAGGATGTGCAGAAGAATATTCCAGCAGCCGGCAGAACCCGGGCAAGGCCTGCGGCAGAAGCATGCTGGTCACCTGGCAATGAGTAGGAAAGAGGGAAGAGGCTAGAGGGTCCAAAAAGTGGTGAAAGAGCCCGTCCACAGAGCCTGAGACGTGAAGTGAGAAGGGTACGGAGCAGAGAGGTGTACTGAGCTGCCGGAGGTCCTGCTCCTGGTGGGAGGGGTGCTGTCCCTCAGCTGCTTGCACTGGAAGCCTCATTGGGAGCACGGTGCAGCAAGGGCCCTTGGGTTGTTAGAGTATCTGAGTGCTTGTCCCCCCTTCTCCCTCAACAGGAATCCCCCCAACATAAGTTCCCCAAAGAGCGAACATTTCCCGTTGTGCTCCACAGGGTCTGAAATACAGAGGGCCGTCCGGCTGACCCAGGCAATCACCACCCAGTGGGAAGGAGGTGAGAACTTGGGGTCCATGAGCTGCTCTGGGGCTCTGCTTCTATGCCCTTCCTTCCAATGTCCACTTTGAGTAACAGAGGGCAGGAGATGGGCTGCCTCCGGCTGCAGATTTGAACCAATGGCCAGAGGCCCACCCCGGGCAGGTGGGCGGACTCTGAGGAGACAGAACAAGAGGGTGCAGGAGCAAGGACCCGCTCTTAGCCTCCCTGCGAGGTCCGTGAGCTCCTTCTCCAGGCTCTAAGGGGGTTTGACAGGGGGTCCTGCAGGGCCACACTTCACCTGGGCTTTCTGGCTCTGGGGGCAGGAAGCTGGGAAGGAGCCCGCAGGCACAGAGTGGAAGACTCCATGGGAACTCTGGTTTTCCTCCAATGGGACTGGCTGAGGTCCAAAAACTCCAAGGGGTCCTCTGGAAAGAACTGCGGACATGTGTCCCCAAACCAGAGCCCATCACACTGTGTTTGCTTTATTTCCCCCTAATTCTTTTTTACTAGAAAAGCAAAACCATTTGGGAACCTCCAGTGGCTGATACAAAGGCAAAGGAATTGGACTGTGAGGCTCTAACCAGCGTCTGCAAGCAGACAGGATGGAGCTCGTCTCAACCGAAGGCGGAGCTGAAGGTTAAAAGGTCACTTCGCCTGCAGGTTGGGATTTGCACACACAATCATCTGAGCGCTGAGTCTCAGCACAGATCCCGGCAGAGAGGTTGGAGCTCATCTCACACCAAAGTCTCAGGTGAAGGGGGACTTGACAACTGAGATGTCTCTAATAAGTGACAAAAATTATGTGAGTAGTAATCGGACGTTTTTCGAGCTAAAGTCTCTATTGAAATAGAAGGCGTCAATGAGCACTCTTAGGAGACCTGCTTAGACGAAAAACAGAACGGGGATCACGAACCCCATTAACTCACATGTCCCAAGCCTCTAATGAAACATTCCCGAGGGATCGGGAAGGATGCGCTGAGCCTGCAGAAACTTTGCAAAGCTCACGCATCCACTTTGCAAGGTTGGATAGCAGAGTCCTCCATGGATCTTATAATTTGGATTTATGTCTCCAACGCAATAAGATAATAGCAAACGAGCACCTGCTTGCCTTTCTGGAGGAGGAATGATGGGCTCTCTGAGGACATTCTTTACTTTGCCGCACTGTCTGTTTTTTTTTTTTTTTAATTTTTCCCCCTTGCCCCGGTTTGGGGTTAAAAAAATCTATGGTTACCATCAAATCAATTTCCCCGCAGAATGAAGAATGCGGCGACCACCATCCTTAAAATTCATCGTTATCCGTTAAGAACCCGGGTCTACAAGAATCGTGGAGATCAAGAGGGCCTGCGTGGTGAGGGTGAGAGGATGCCGGGGAAGACGAGATCCACATGTTGATTATTTTCTGATAAAAGTGTTTGCTGTATCTGAAAGTGGAGGGAATTAAATATAAACAGATTTGTTTAAACCCAGTTCCCCTATTATTCTATAGGTTACCTTAACCCTCTTCTGACATTGATTTTTCAACAAGGGTGATTATTTTTTTCAGACATAGAAAACAGCTAAACTGAAGTTATTCATACCTATGGGATTATTCTATAGTTAATTTTACTATTCAAAACTTGTGAAAATTACATGCTACAGAACATAGTCATGGGTTTCACCAGCAGGGCGGGTCTTTCCAGCAAAATCACTATCTGTCAGCCAAAAAAAAATCAAAATAGAAAATAGCAATAACAAGCATAATTGATTGTGCACCTATATGTGATAGGACTTTATGTGTAGTTTATCTCTAATCCTTCTCAACAACCCTGAAAAGTAGTGCTAATAATAATTCTTATGTTACAGAAGTCATCCCGGGTTTAATAGAGCCTTGTCCAAGGTTTAACAAGTGTAGAGGGGGACCGTGGAGCTCAGTGGCAGAGCAAATGCTTAGCATGCTCGAGGACCTGGGTTCCATCTCCAGCAACCCCCGTCCCCAACAAAAGGTAGAACCAAGACTCGAATGTGCATCTCACTCCTGCCCCTGAGGACTTTGCACTGTTGTGCTCTCTCAATACCATAGATAGTAGGTAGCCACCAACAGGAAGTGCAAGGACCCCAGGTTTCATAGATCAGATCCCAAATCCACCGTGCAGGTCCATGAATTACTTCAAGTGCATCTGCGTGCATTCTTCTAATCAACTTCTAATCAGCCTCCTTAACTGCATTCATATTCAATGGGCGTCCCTACCCAGTAATGGAAATAGAACTGGTCTTGTTTGCCTTGTGCGGATGGAGCACCTGCTGTGGTTCGGCACCAGGGACAGGACAGTGTGCAGGTCTCAGTCTGTCACCAGTGCTGTGGCACGGCGGCTGTAAGCTCTGCAGCAAGTTTTCAAATGCATTGATTTTTAAGCTCAATACCTCTGCCGCTGCGTCTCATTAGTTGCTTCAGCCGACCTCCGCTCCACCCACAGGACGCCTAACCGATGGTGCAGCAAAGCTTTGCCGGCTGCATTTTTGTTTTTTATTTGTGTTATCAGAAGTGAGAAGTCTTGCATTGGAGGCCAGCTCTGCATTGGAATCATGGGCTTCTCTGCGCATCAAAGTGGGGATGGGGACCTCTGTCTCCAGAGTTATGGCTCAGACCTTCAGCGTGACCCCCAAACATTCACCGTCTCCTGTCCAGCCCCACCCACGAAAATTCTCTTTACCATCTGGACCCCATCTTTGTTCCCCAGTGCTGGGGATGGAAGCCAGGGCCTCGCACGTGCTAGGCAAGTGCTCCACCACTGAGCCACGGTCTACCCTGGACCCTGTCGCGGTCATCTGTTTCCTTCACAGTCCTCAGAGCAGCGGTGGCGTAGAGGGGCCCTCAGCGAACCCTGAAGGAGGAGAGAGCCATGTCATTAGCACAGGAAAGGGCCTGGGGGTGACAGTCCTCCAGGTGGACAAGACTTCATTCTGTAATTATCCCAGCTGTCAAAAGTCATTCCCAGAAAGCGGTTCCCGGGAGGGCCACGACATTGCTGTAGGACTCAGTGAGGATGTGATTCTGAGGGAAGATGAGTAGTGACCGCCAAGTGCTTTCCTTGTGCGCTGCTCTTCCGAAAGAGGCTCTGGGTACACAGGTACCTGAGCATCTAGTTAAGACCCAAACACACAGTGTTTAGTTGTCCCCCATCGGCCCAGTTATAAAATGTGGGTACACTATACTCTACTCATTAATATCATCTGGGTCCTAGAAACACATAAACCCACAAGATGTCATGGTCTGGATCCGGGGTGTCCCCAAAGCTCCTGCGTTAATCCAGGGACGTTGAGAGCTGTGACGCCCACCAGTGCATCCTGGTGGTAACCGTGGGCAGGTGGGGCGTGGGTGGAGGAGGTGGGTCACAGAGGATGTGTCCCCAGAAGGGACCGTCTTCCCTCTGGCCTTCCTCCTTTCCCCCTGGCCGGCACGAGTGGAGAAGCTTTCCTACTCCACACCTCCACCATGATGCCCACCTGGCGTCCAGAGCAACCCACCCCTTCGACCATGGACGAAACCTCTGAAACCAAGAGCCAAAATACACGTTTCCTCCTCTAAGTTGCTCCTGTCTGGTCTTTGGGGCACAGTGACAAAAAGCCGACTAAGCCAAAGAAACCACTTTTTAAATGGAAGTCTTGATATTTTGTCTTTGAGATCTAAGAAATGGGCTTTCCTGAGCAAAGCTTCCGTCTCGGCTGAGCAATGGTACTTTCTGGTAGACAAAGGAAATGCTGTGTTTCTTTCCCGGGCCGGCTTCCTGACGTCCACTGCTTGTCCTCTGCCTTTGGGTTCTCGCCGGAGACCACCAACATTCTCAGACACAGTGAAGTAAAGCAGGAGAATTTCAGACCGTCCCAGCCAGATCCCAGGTTTGCTGTGGATCGTAAGCATGACAGCGTGAAGCTCGACAGATTCTTCTGGAATTCTCTGTTTGTTTTCCTTGTGATCTGACTCACATAAAATCTATTTTATTTCTTCTTCCAAACTCCTAGGGAGTGTGGTCATATGATTCTAGCAGAGGAAAACATTGTCAAAATAGGATGGAGAAGTTATCACTCTTACATTGTTTTCATTAAATAAAGAGCTTCCATGTGCAGATCTAATGCTGTGACTTTATATCTTAAATTATCTAACATATACTACAGCGTTTTAGAATTAGTGCTATTTAGTCTCCTTGGTATCATCATAGTTTTTTATATGCATCTTAAAGAAAAAGTCAATACATATGAAAACAGAGTTATTTTGAGAATGTATGTACTTACTTTCCCTGTTAAAACTATTTAATTGCACACACACTCATACACAAGGAAAAATTAGATATTTTACTCACAAAAAGCTGACAAGGGTTACCTCAGGGTCATGAGAGTGACGTTCCATTTTCTTCTTTGTGTTTTCCGTGATTTTCCAAACTTTCTGTAACAGCCAAGTGTGTTTAACAAGAGTATACACCCAAGCAATTATAGTAATTTGCACAGATTCCTATACTATAAACTTCCAAACAGAAACTTTAAAATGAACTTTTAGAGTCGGTGGCGTTCAGAAGCAAACTGTGTGTTATTTCTAAGTTCTGTGCTCTATTTTCATTGTGGCACAGTTTTTAATGGTGTTTTGGTCCTCATAGAAGAAAACAGCAGCTTAAACCAAAGGCTTCCTCACAGACCCTCATTTATCTAGATTTCAAATGCATTTTAGGTTAGGGAGCAAAAGGGAGGCAGAGAATGGGTGAAGAGGGTCTTGCAAAATCATGGCCTCAGGCAGAGCTGACAGTAGTACTCAGGAAGATCTACAGCAGAAGGTGGGTCTGTCTGGACAAGGTGAGACTCTGGTAAGCACTGTCCAACTCTAAGGTGGCCTTCCCTGGGAGAAAAACAGAAAATGCCACAGCATGAAGCCCGCCTAAAAAAACCTCGACTGAATGCAAGGGATGGAAAGAAGGCCTTTTAATAGAGAATAAATAGTTTATTTCAAGAGGTACATTTGGTAGCCGGGCACAGTCAAGTATTCCTGTAATCCCAGTGACTCGGGAGGCTGAGGCAGGAGGATCCCCAGTTCAAAGCCAGCCTCAGCAATTTAGTGAGGCCCTAAGCAACTTGGGGACACCCTGTTTCTAAATAAAATATAACAAAAGGGGCTGGGGATGTGGCTCAGTGGTTAAGCATCCCTGAGTTCAATCCCCAGTACCAAAAAAAAAAAAATGGATTTGGCTGTAAGGCCTCCAGGATCACATGGTGGTGCAGTCACGGAGCTCTGCTTTGCAGTCAGGTAGCATCGAGGTCTGAACCCCGCTGATTTTGTGTGTCTGTGTTCCCATCTCGGTGCACATTTACATTTTTATAGGAACATATCTTTTTTCCCACAGCTTTCATGAAACCCTCAAAGGGCCCATGACCCCAAAAGATTAAAAACTAGTGTAATAGGAAAAGCAAGAGCTTCGGCTTCAGAAAAATTGAGTGCAAACTTGTCACTCACTCGCGGTGGGAGCTGGAATGAGTTGAATTTCTGGAATCATGATAGATAGTCATGTATTCCATCACACACGTTGAAATAGCACCTAAGTACCCACAGCCGTGTCTACCACATCCCAGATGCTCTGTACATGGCAGCTATTATTAGATCTATCGCATCCTGTAAATAGTCTGGAATGTTCTGGCAAAGCCTGTCTCGTCAGGTGTCCATCCCCGCATGTCCCTGAGTTGGCAGAAACCATATCTCCGCTCTCTTGCCCCTTGTCATTGACTCTTCATCGAGAGCGACTCCCGTGCCCTCCCCATGCTGTCCATTTAACACTCGGCAGAGCCCTGGGGACCGCTGTGACCCAGTCCAAGGGCAGCCCAGCCACGTGCTTCCCGGCCAGGACCTGGGTCTCAGGGGTTCCTGCGCACTCCTTGAGGAGGGTCCTCTGCACAGGTCTCGGGTCACGGGAGCGCCTGCCCAGGGCAACGGGCCTTGGCTCTGCCCGAGAGTGGCAGGAAGAGGGCTCCCAGAGCCGGATCCACGTGCCTTTCAGTGACAAGAAAGTACCCATGTTAGCCCCTCCAAATCCTGATGCAAGTGGGACCAGAAAAGCACCAGCATTGACTTTGCTCTTGGAAATATTAATTCTGGGACTTAGGAAGCGACGGTTAAAACTTCACTTGCGATTCAGTCGTCTAGTGTGTGGACTTGGAAGAGCTGGACCTTACCCTAAGAACTTCATTGTAACTCCCCCTCTGCTGCCTGGGGACCCCTGTGTACCAGCTTTGAGTTTTCATTTCATTTAAAGTCCCTATAAACCTGGGCACGTGGTGGGGTGCCTCAGCGAGGATTCTCAGGAGCCCCACGTTTTCTTGGTCCTCTCTCACCCTGACCTCTCTGACCTCGGCTTCCTGCTCCCCAAGGTGGCTGTGGCCCTCCCCACCTCCGGGACCTTGCTCTTGGGGGTAGCTGCCATTCCCTAGAGACTTGGGACTGAAGGGCCTCATCCTCCAACAGAGCAGGCCACGCCGTGAAACTGTATCTCAGGGAGCCTCCAGGACCCCAGGCAGCCTCCCGGGGTCCTCTGACTCAGGCCCAGGGTCTCCCTTCCCCTTCTTTGAGACTGGGCACAGTGTTTCTCTTTTTTTAATATTTTTTAGTTGTAGATGGACACAATATCTTAATTTATTCATTTTTACACAGTGCCGAGGCTCGAACCCAGTGCCTCACACGTGTGAGGCAGGTACTCCACCACTGAGCTACGGCCCCAGCCCCAGCCCCTTGGGTTTGTTTAAGTTGTTGGTGGATGTTTATTTTATTCATTTATTTATATGCAGTACTGAGAATCGAACCCAGTGCCTCCCACATGCCAGGAAACTGCTCTACCACTGAGCCATCACCCCAGCCCTTGCTTTGTTTTTAAAATAACCACTTTGTTTTCTTCTCATTAAGCAAAAAAGGTCCTCTACGAAAGGACCGAGTACTACCAATACCCACCCCCAAATTTTCCTTTTTGAAAGACTAGGTTCTGATTTGTCATTTCTTCCTGAGGGATAATCTCAAGACCATCAATTTACCAAATGGAATCTGGGTTCGGGAAGGCTGTCACCACTGCAGGTTGATTGTTAATAGCAAAACAATGATGATGATGATGAGGATGATGAGGATGATGATGATGATGAGGATGAGGATGATGATGATGATGATGATAAAAAATTAATCCAAAGTTCCAATAATGGGAAATGGTTAAATAAATGCTAATAGTCCGTAGGCATTGAAAGAATCACCATAAAGAATATAGCAACAAGGAAACTAATCACGAGCTAGTGTACGTTAAACATAGGATGCAAATTTCTGAGTAAGAGAACACTGAGCTTGCAAATGCAAAGAGAAGGACAGAGAAAGCAAAGGGTAGTGTGTCGGTGGCCAAATGTGGCTCTGTGTGTCCCTGGTCTCTCGAATAGAATTGTGCAAGTTCTAATTGGCACAGACTTTCAAATCAAATGAATGAAAGATGAAATCAGCTTTAACATATGGGATCATCCTGAAAATAGGAAGCTTTGAGCCAAAGAGTCGAGAGAGGAAGCCATGAACACCTTGGGCATCTCACAGGAATCCCCACCAGATTCCTAAATTCTGTGCTGTGAATTCATCTCTTATTAATCTCAGTGCTACCCCAGTTACGGGTCAACCCAATGCTCTAGAAAGTGGTCAAGAAATGGGCAAAATCCCAGGATTCTCGCAAGCAAAATGTGTGAGGGTCCACACTGGACCCACGGCCCCTCGCCAGCAGCCAGCTGGGCCCGTTCCTGCCCAGACTCCAACGAGCTGGAATTTCTAAGCCTCAGCATGAGGGAAGCAGGGCATTATTGGGGGGAAAAAAAGGCATTTTCCAGCCTCACAGTCAAGTCCTCCTAAAAGGGAACCAAGGACTTTGAGAATAACCTAATGTCGGGTGCCACGCGTGACTATGCTCCAGCATTTCCTGTGCCTTTGGCTGTAATGAGGACATGGAGGCTTCCATGGCAGGCACTGGTCCTGGGCCGCTGTCTGGTCGGAGAGGCAAGGGGAATACACATTCTAGAAAGAATTCTGCTTCAGCTGGTTTCTTTTCAAAGTGTATTCTTGGTGCTTGTTTTTCCTAAAAATGAACAGAAGTTACTCAGTCACTCCCTCCCTCCCTTACAGGCAGTAAGATGAGTTGTTTCAAACTTGAGTTTTTCTGGGAAAAGTGGCAGTTTGCAGAAGCAGCCGGCTCCTCAGACTCTGCTCCCCTCCCCTGCTGCTAATGAAGCAAGCCGAGGACACTGTTTCAGTCTCAGTCACACCGTGTCCCCCGTCTCTTTTTCCAGCCCTCTTCCACCCACGCCGGTTTCCCTCCTCTACCTGGTCCCCCCACTCGCGTTATCGCAGACTTGAGCTGCGCCCGTCTCCGGGGAATGAGAGGGGAGATAGGGGAGATAGGGGGATGTCAGTTGCCATCACAGCTAACGAGAGCCTCTCCCGCGGCGTCCCGTGAGCCCTGCCAGCCCTGGGAGATGCCCGCTATCGCAACCGTCGGGTGGTTTGGAAACTTTTCAGGTTGTTTGCGTTAGTGGATTTGTTCCAAGCGAGCACATGTTTTTCAAAAAACGAATGCCAAAGATAACAAAAAATGCAAAGGAGAGGGGGGACGGGGGACTTATCCAGAGCCAGGAGTGAACCAGGATAAGACTTACTAACAGCTGCACGTTCAAGGGCACTTGCCTCCCGCCACATTTATAAGGACCCAGAAAGACGGAGGTTAAAAACAATGTTAGTCAGCCGCTCAGGAGGCAGTGACTGGGGACCCCGCCATGTGCTGGGCATCGGCTTCATGTCCCGTGGGGCAGGGGTCACTGCGCTACTCTGGCTTAAGTTGTTTACAGCTGAGTTGGAGTGGTCCTTGTTGACGACGCGGTTTCCCAGCAATCTTCTCCAGCATTCTGATTACTGTCCCCGTCATTAGCTGCTGTCATTTGTTTTCGGGGTTGATGGTCAGCACTGTGATTGCATTTAGAACGCCGAGTGGGTTTGCATGATCACCGGCTGCACCTCTGGGTGGCAATCACTGCCGTTTCTTGAACCCACTTTAGATTAGAAAGAGCAGGCCACTTGGCTCTCTGAAGGA